CGTATTCTTGTATAGTGTTCATTTTCATGATCCCAAACACACAAAGGATGTAATTGATTTTCCATATGCAATGTTTTCAACTTATAATCTTCAAAATTATCTCAAGGGGAAAAGTGCAAAGCAAGTTTATTACATCACTAATTAAAACAAATATTATTCAAAATAAGCAAAAACTAGTGTGCATTTTATGTTGATTCTATACAGGCCAAAACAAGAGATAACACTTCCATCATCACTACGGAAGCGATCGCTCACCCCATTAAATTTCAACTATTAACAATCAGCACGAGAAAATTGGGATCAAATCTGCCTGGATGATTGGATGCCTAAAAAATACCCACGTATGCGTTATTCCATACAGCCTTGGGTTCCAACAATATGGATGGATCAATAAGGAGTACTTTTCTTGTGCTAGAGTGTGAAAAGCATTTGTTAAAATCTAATTAAACTTTCTCTCTTTCACAGACAATTCAAAACAAAGCATTTCCTACATCAACCTTAGCGCAGAACTTGCCTGGCTTCACCTGCAGACTGATGTTGGTTAGGGTATCAACTATGGAATTGGGTGTCCACTTGGCACAACCATTTTTAATAGTGACCCCCAGCTTCTGGTCTTGTGCATGGTTTATAGAAGCCCTCTTGCTATTCCCATGATACACACTCTCCATCTCTTCAAGAAGCAGGAAATTCTGGATTATATTACATCACAAGATATTAATAACAAAGTAAATTCACATTCATATGGTTCAACTGCAAGCTCTTATGCTTTAGTTTGGAATAGTAATTTGGCACAGAAAACAATACATATAACCATAGTCATACAAATCATGGCCCACATTCAGGTCAGGGTCAAACTTGTGTAGTTTTGCCAGAAAGAACCCCAAGAGTGCGCGTTCAGTGTCCACCTTCTCTAACTTCGTTTGATGCAGCAGTGGAGTCAAAGGCCAAGCTATGTCTGATGGTCGAGTACCAGAGCATAATATAAATGTGCCTTCACTGTTTACAATCATACGATTCAATTTCTGCAACGATTTCTAATCTTTAAAAGGCAGGGGTGAAAAAACTGTGGCCTCTAGAAAAATTCAAGTGGCCCATTAATTATTATGGTAATTTATTATATCTACAATTAAACACAAAGTCAAGTGAGACTCACTGCATAAGAAGTATAATTTGGAGACCACAAATCAAGAGTTCAGAATATAAAAAGTCCATATTAATTATTAACAGAGTAATTTTTATGTCTCTTGATAATCTATAAATTACAGTCGATCGGGAAGAAAAACTGGTAACTCTTCAACAGTTTCTGAAGTAGAGAATTAGGCCTTCTGGCCTAAGGTCTCATAGAAATAGTTCTATCCAGCCCCTGAGTAAAAATACTTCCTCATATCTGCTTTATTATTATTATTATTAATGTGACCGGTCCATATGAACAGGATCCTTCCCTCTTTTTCTCGGACTGGGCCCTGTTCATATACGTTCTTGGCAGATGATCCAGCAGTGGTTTGCCATTGCCTTCTTCTGTGTGTGAATGGAGTAATTGTTGGGATGCCACGGAGGAAAACTCCGTGTTGCCTAGACCACGGCCTTGCCCAACACAAGTTATAAATTCGAACCCGAGACCCCAGGATTACAAGGCCAGCGCTCTAACCGCTAGACCACCGTGGCGGTCATATCTGCTATAAATCACAAATTTAAAATAAGTTATCTTTCCCTGGCGGTAAAGTGAACCAGGGAAATGGACAGATCTTATCCTTCATAGCAAAACACATATCAATGACAGGTATGAATTACAAAGTGTAAATCTGATTACTATTGTTTCCAAGTACTTCAACTTTATCAACAGTAACACTAAATAAATATAAAAAATACCTTTCCACATGTTCAATAAAACTGAACTAATAACAGAGATTATACTAACCACAGAAGTGCTGCTGGAATGGAGGATGAGGAGGTGCTCTGTCCACATGGAAGCCATTATGAACCAGGCAACCAATCGTGACCACTCGTAGGATGGAGCACTGTGCACATGTTCATGTTCAATGTCATCACCTCAAGTGGCGGAGGGGAAGGAGAAGGCAACATGTTCTGGTTTCATCACAGTTACCTGAGAAACACAGAGCGACTTATTTAACAGTACTCCACCAACTACTGACAACTATAATTTATAACCAAGAGATATACTGATGGCAGGGGGGAATAGAAAACCCATCACACTACAGCTTCGTAACCAGGACTGGTTCTTAAGTTGCTGTTTTTTTGTGTTTCATTGTATTGCAGTGTGAGTGCAATTGTTCATGACGTATGTAATTCATAACTCTTACTGTCTTATGTCTAGTTGGCATTAATTTTTAAGTTATGTACTTTAGGTTATATGTTTTCTTAATCTTATGAGATGTTTTATTTTGAGTGTCGTGTGTTGTTAAGTAAATGAATTAAATATACCTAAGTCATGTAATTCAATTAATAATACTAAATAAAACAAAACAGAATAAACTTATAAAATTAATACCACAAAATAAAATACAGTCAGCACAGGAAATGAATAAACAAAAAAAATGATGATTATTGTTTAAAAAGCTGACTCACATCCGTAAGCAAAATACGATCTTTGTTAAAGATGTTGATGCTCCTGCAGACTGCATTGGCAGCAGAAGCACATCTGGCAAAGGGACTGGCCTTGAAATTACGTTGTACAGTAAAGGTAGAATAGTCTCTGATAGACCTAGTAGGTATGCAGAGACTAACTGTATCAAAAACAGATGAGCAACTAATTTTTTTGTTTATTCACTTCCTGAGCTGACTGTATTTTATTTTGTGGTATTGTAATGTTTGTATTGTTAGTGCTTGGCTGTTATTGGCCTTTTTGACTGTTGTTAAGCACTTTAATAAATGAATTGAATTGAACGCGACTACTATTAGTACAAGCAGTATTAGAACTGACAGCCAGATTCCTCTCAACCCTAAAATGCACCACACCAATACCTAATGATTTATACAATTGTTGCACAAAATTCAAAGTGAGAGCAATATGAGGATGGCTGTTTTTTGAATTGTAGTGCCATGTAGTGTAGCACAAGTTTATCAACATTTCAGAGGTCACTGCCGTGAGAATGTCAAACCCTACTTTTAAAACAATATTATCATATTTAACTATATTACTTCATAATGAATAAGCTTATAAGAGTTAATTATTCCGATTGCAACACCAACAAATAAAACAGGAGCTGACTCCTACCTATAACCTACCTCGACTTTTCACCAGCTGACAGGATTGGTGACTGCCTGAGCATATTAACATCATGCCAACCTTTCATCCTGCGGTCCAATACAAGTTGCTCCAGAGAACTTGTGTTCGTACCTTCCAAACACATGACTGAATGTCTCACGTTGTAGATCAGATGGCAACATTGGCTGGGTGGCCGATCACAATATGCATTGCTTGATTAAACTAAATTACTAGTTATTTAATGCATATATAACAGAACCACTAAAATATAAATAAGCACATTTGGAGACAGTATGTTTCTCCAAAACACTGGTGACTGCCTACACGTTCACACTGTCACAGCCCAGAAGACCACCATGAATAGACATGTGATTATGAAGTGTTTTGTGACCATTTTTCTCATGTATATGAATTACGATATGCCGCAGACCTCAAGCTTTCCAACATACCACAGCACCACCAACAGCACATGAAAACAGTTTTGAGGTCTCCGCCCCTCTCTCCAATTAAAACCATTCTTGCCCACTGCGAGCATGGCCTACTTGCAGACATACGTCGATATCTGCACACACTGCACATTTAATCCTAAGTCCTGTAATATCATCCTGACAATAAGTACAATTGTATTTTGCATATAAATCTGAAATGCAAGCACAATTATATATCACTTTACCTTATCTGCAAATACATATATTAATTCTAACTTATCCACCATGTTGTGACGTCACAGCCAAAGCCCACTAAACGCGAATGCCTGATCGGTAACACCAGTGGTACAAACCTCTCAAAAATCATTACCGTATGCACACTGGTGAGAAGCCTTTGAATGCAATGTGTGTAATGCAAAGTTCTCACGCAGCGCATCGTACAACACACATGGAAATGAAACAGTACAAATGTGATGTTTGCAACAAGAACTTTTCAAGGAATGATGATTTGAAGAAAAATTATCGCACTCATACACAAGTGAAGATTTACTAATGTGAAGTATGCAATACACATTTCTCAGAGAAAGAAAATCTTGTGATACAGTTTTATCCATACAGGTAAAAAGCCTTACACTTGTGAAGGCTTTTATCCATATTTTTCTCAGGGTGGACATCTCAACGCGCACAAACGCATACACAAACGGGAAGAAACCGTATAATTGTGATAGGTGCAAAAAGTAGTTTCCAGTGCGAGAAAAACTGATAAGGCATTATCGTACCCACACGGGGAGAAACCATAGGGTTGTGTTGTATGCGAATGAAGCTTCACAGAACTTGTCAACCTTAAGAGTCATCTTTCTCACGTGCATACTAGAGAAATACCAAGTAGTGGAGAAGTGAATAATTTAAACTTCAAGGACTT